TTCTAAGAAAAGAGTGGACAACCGTTTGTCCAGTCTCCTGTTTTGGGCAGAGGGGTTAGACTAGAAGACCTCCAAGGTTGATTCTTAAGCCTTGATTTCCACCATGAACCTCACCCTAATCTCAGGCCTGAAGGCCAGACAAGGAACAACGGATGGAAACTGATCAAGGAGAGATTCAACCTAGAAATAAGGAGGAATTTTCTGTCAGTGAGAACAATCAAGCCATGGAACAGCTGGATGTTTAGATGTTGAGGGAGCTTCATCCCTGGTGGCTTCCAAGAAGAGACTGGACTGCCATCTGTCAGAAATGATGTAGGGTCTCCAGCTTGGGTGGGGGTTGGACTAAATGACCTATAAGGTCCCTTCCAACTCTGTTCTTCTCTTATTATTCTGTTATTCAGAAGTTGTGGGAGCTTCAACCCTGGAAGCTTTCAAGACTGGGCTGCCATCTGTCAGAAATGGCTTAGGGTCTCCTAAGAGGGGGAGGGTTGGACTAGATGACCTACAAGGTCCCTTCCATTCTAATCTTCTCCCTGCAGTACTCTGCAAAAGAGCGAGACTGGATCCGTCCTCCCTCGGCCAATATCCTGGGAGCTCTGGACCTCGGCGGAGCCTCCACCCAGATCAGTTTCATTCCCGCTGGTCTGATCGCGGATCCTTCCGAAGCCGTCCAGTTTCGCCTCTACGGCTTTGACTACAACATCTATAGCCACAGCTACCTCTGCTACGGCCAAAACCAAGCTTTCCAACGGGTGATCCGGTTGATTCTTGTAAGTAATCCTCCTGAAGGTGGCTTGGAAGCAGGGGTGGGATTCTGACGGTTCGGACCGGTTTGGACAAACTGGTAGTTCTGGCGATTAGTTGGTCCCTGCCCTAGTCTGTCCATTATTTCCACATTTTGCTGCCGTAGGAAGTAAGTTCCATAGGCAAAACACAAGCCACGGAGAGGAGTTTCAGTTTCAGTTTCACATCAGCACCAAACAGTTTTAGTACACGACAGTCGAGCTAAGCCACGCCCAGGCTCCTTGCTGTCTCCTCCTTGCTCACAAGGTTTAGTGGGACCTTCTACCGTTATGGATCTCGTCTTCTGTGCCCGACCATTTATGATTGTTGCTTTTAGAGTGGAAGCCCCAGTGTTGAGGTGGCTCACCCCTGCTACCCAAAAGGCTACGAAGAGGAGGTACAGGCGGCCTCCCTCTCTGACAACCCCTGCGTCAAGCCTCTGCCCGCCACCACCTCTCCGTCCAACGTCACTCTGGTGGGCAAAGGGAATTCTAGCCTTTGCCGGGAGAAGTTCAAAGCCATCTTCAACTTCTCCGGCTGCCGAGATCCCTCATCCTGCGGCTTTGAAGGAATCTACCAGCCAAGAGTCAACGGGAAGTTTCTGGTAGGAGAGCTTTTGCTAACGCATTCTGAATTCCTGGGTGGGGGAATTCAGTTTTAGGGGGCATTTATCCCCGCGATTAGGGATAGCCCTCGACTTCACGACTACAAGGGAGGGCAAAATGGAGGCATTGGTGGAGTCTTGCCCCATTTTACGATCTCCACCCTGTTGCAGACATGGTGAGAAATCCCCATTGGGATGTTTATATGTTGTTTTAAAATCTTCCAGGCCTTTTCAGCGTATTACTACACTTTCCGATTTCTGAACCTGACTGTCACTAGTCCACTGGCCACTGTAGAGAGAGCCATCCAGGTTTTCTGTGCCAGAACATGGGAAGATGTAAATATTTTATTATCTATCTATCTATCTATCTATCTATCTATCTATCTATCTATCTATCTATCTATCTATCCACCACTCTCTCTTTTTCTATCTATCCGTCTATCTTCTATCGATCTTTCTCTATCATCTCTCTCTATATTTATCATTTATCTATCATCTCTCTGTCCTTCCATCCATCCATCCATTCATCCATTCATCTCTCTTTATCTATCTATCTATCTATCTATCTATCTATCTATCTATCTATCTATCTATCTATCTATCTATCTATCTCATCTCTCTGTGTATTTACCATTTATCTATCATCTGTCCTATCTTAGATAGATATCTTTCTATCTTCTCAAATCCATCCATTCAT